ATGAATGAAGATAAGCAGAAGAAAAAGGACTGTTGTATGTATGAAACTTTTTTTAACATAACCACAAAACAAAACTCTAGAACTGAGACATACAACATAAGAAAATAGGAAGTGGAGAAAAAAAAACACCACCATGGAAAATGACCAAACTAATATAGCAGACAGAAACATAGAGAAAAGAGACACAGAGCAACCAGAAAACAAAAGTTGAAATGGCTATAGAAGTCCATATATATCAATAATCACCCTAAATATAAAGACTGAACTCACCAATCAAATGGCACCAAGTTGGAGAATGGATTCAAAAACAAGACCCAACTATACATTGTCTTCAGGAGCCCCATCTCAGCCTCAAAGACAGACACATGCTCCAAGAAGGGTGGAAGACAATACTCAAGAAAATGGATCTAGAGAAAAAGTGAGTGCAACCATTCTTATATTAGACAGAACAGATTTCAAGATAAAAGTGGTAACAAGAGCCCTGGCTGGTTTGGCTCAGTGGTTGGAGTGTCGGCCTGCGAATCAGAGAGTCTTGGGTTCGGTTTCCGCTAGAGGCATGTACAAAAAAAAAAAAAGGTAACAAGAGACAAAGATGGACATTTCATAATGATAATGGGGATTATACATCAATAAAGCGTAACACTTATTAATGTATATGCACCCAACCTGGAAGCACCAAAAAAAATATGTATATATATATGTGTGTGTGTATGTGTGTGTATGTCAATTACTATAAAACTAAAGGGAGAAACTTAAAAAAAAGTTACAATTATAGTAGGGAACCTGAATACCCCATTGATAGCAATGAATAGATCATTGAAACAGAAAGTCAATACGTAAATATCAACCTTCAATGGACATAATTGATATGTATAGAGTTTTGCATGCCAAAACAACAGAATAGACATTCTTTTCAAGTACACATAAAACATTATCAAGGATAGACTATATATATATATATATATATATATATATATATATATATGTTGGGGCACACTATGAGTCTCAATACATTTAAGAAGACTGAAATAATACCAAATATAATTTCCAACCACAAGAAAGAGAATAGCTATTTAATCTTTGTTGGAAAATAAAAAATAATGTTTCATAACAGTCACCGAATGAGAGTCAGTTGGGAGAATGGATGACTGGTTTCTCAGAACAAGTCTTCAACCCATTAGACCTTATGGGAAAACTGCTTATGAATTTTATCAGGACTCATTTCTTCCCAGAGGCAGGTTTAGAATAGTATTACAAAATAGGGTTTGGTCCCCTCCTAGGGGCTTTTTTTTTTTTTTTTGAACAGAGATAACAGGCTCTTGTATATATAAACAACTGTGATTTATTTTAAAATGTGGTTCAGTACAGTATTGCTAATGAATCCACATTTAGCTCCCCATTCTTGGAGATCAGAGAGAGAGAATTTGTAAGTGTGAATGCTCCACCCTCTCTATCTACAGATGCAAGGTCAAGAAAACTGCCCTGGAGCACTGTGATCACTATGATAAGGAAGATGTTGCAGAGCAAGTCAAAACAAAACAGGAAGAATGCAGGTGTTAATGACATTACATTGCAAGCCAGTAAGGGCTAGTTCAAAACAACACCCCAGCAAAGAGGCAATTAATGAGAAAGGTTTCTAATAGTATTGGGTTTTAATGCAATGACTCTAATTTGTTTTTGAAGTAGATCCTTTTTGGAATTTTTTGTTTGGTTTTGTTATTTTAAATGAATAATTAATGGCATTTTAAATCATTTTTAAATCTCAATTTTCTATGAGACCTTGATTTGTGCCAAGCTAGAGTTTGACAAAAGTAAGACTTTGCAGAAAGGCAGACCCCTCAGAGATTGATACAAGATTGCTACATAAATTCACTTAGGGCAGGAATCATGCTTAATTTGTTTTTGCTCAGTAGGTGTTGGGTGAACTTATTAGATAAAGGAGAAAATGTCTTCTGAAGTTCTTTTTAATCTATTGGGGGCCAACCAATATATGACATTGTGCCAAGTCACAATCCTTTGATGAATGAATGAATGAGTGAATGAATGGATGGAATTATATATTGATCACCATCTGAAAGCTGAGGATTCTGAGGTCATAAAGGTAGTTTTATTACTATCATCATATTTATCTTGTCTTTAGCAACCATTCAATACATTTTTGCTGACTTAAACCTTCCTTATCCATGTTTGGAGTGTCACATCATTTCACATTTCCTTTTCCCTTTTTAACTAAAATATTTTAACTTTTCAAGGACTTTATTATGCCATTTTACAAAAAATAACTTCACAAAAGCCATTAAAAATACTAGAAGGGCCCTGGCCGGTTTGGCTCAGCGGTTGGAGCGTCGGCCTGCGGTACAGAGAGACCCCAGTTCGGTTCCCGCTAAGGGCACGTACCTCAGTTGCAGTTTGTCCCCGGCCCTGGTTGGTCGTGCGGGTGGCAGCCACTCGATGTGTCCCTTCACATCGATGTTTCTCTCTCTCTCTCTCCCTCTCTCTCCCTCCCGCTCTATCTGAACAAAAAATGGAAAAATGTCCTTGGGTGAGGATAAAAAAAAAAAATACTAGAAGAAATATACTGATGATAAAGTGAGATGATATGATTAGAATTGTTTTATGATTTATATATTTTTCTACAGCTGGTGTGCATTACTTTTTATATAAAAATTGCAAATACCTTACACTGAAAGTTATGAATTCCTTCTCAATTCCTGAGTTCTTGCATACCCAGAGAACACTCACATAATCTCCAAACCCTATGCCCACACTTAGATAGACCACATTAGACACACTGAAAGAATTGTAGATTTATGGGAGGAATTCAAACAGCCAGAATACAATTGGACTAGATTTTATGAATCTCCAACATTCATTATTACACAGCCTACATTATTAAAAGCCATATAATTGGTGTGCTAAATCCTAGGAAGAGAACAATAAATAAAATGCCGGTTCTGTCTCCATGGAACTTTTATGTAGGCAAGTTATCTAAAATACATGTAGTGAGTGCCAGGTAAGTGAAACTCTGAGAGGCTTTGGAGTCAAGAGGATGGTGTGATTCATATCACCTTGCAGAAGGATCAGGCAACTGAGTCCTCTTATACTGAGTCTGGAAGGTTTGAGAGTTGTGAGGTAGACAAGGGAGGGGGCTTCTGTTCAGATAAAGGGAAGGGGACCTGTACAAACGTAGCCAGTGTCACACATAGCCGTGGTAGTCCTGTGGTCCGTGAAATATTTCCACAATATTTCAAAAGGTCGATTTGATGGCCCTCGGGATTTCTGGCTTCGCTTGAATTGCTAATACAGAAAGGAAGTGACTCTGAGATGCACTGGCAATTGTCAAAATGACCGGGACCCAGCTGTGCGACAGAAGAGCTTCCTGCTTGTCTTCAAGCCATTAGAATCCCCTTGACGTGAAAAATAAAATTGTGAAGTGAAGCAGACAATGGAGGTTGCAGAGGCAGACTGCCTGGCTTCGCATGTCCAGCCCACCACCTAGAACATGTTCAACAGGAGCAGCTTACGGGCCTTCTCTCTGCTCGATTCCTCATCTGTGCAATGGGGAGACTATCGTAAGGACGCCAGGGGGTGCTTGTGAACACTGCAGCGCACTGAAGGAAACATCACTGTGGCTGCACTTCTAAGCCTCGTCCTCCATCAGTCATCCTGTCTCTTAGTGGGTGCCAAGCTCAAGAGTGGAAGAAAATAGTGTTACTCGCTGGACTCTTAAAACTTCACTCTTGTAGAGAGCTGCCTTGTGGGGTAGAAAAGATCTGTGAGCCCTGGCCGGTTAGGCCCAGCAGTTAGAGCGTTGGCTCATGGACCAGAGAGTCCCGGGTTTGGTTCCCGCTAAGGGCATGTACCTCAGGTGCAGTTTGTCCCCGGCCCTGGTTGGGGTTGTGTGGGTGGCAACCAGTTGGTGTGTCTCTCTGACATAGATGTTTCTCTCTCTCTCTCATCTTCCCTCTCCCCCTCCCACTCTATCTGAAGATAAATGCAAAATTGTCCTCAGGTGAGGATAAAAAAAAAGAAAGAAAAGATCTAATAGTTTGGTTTCTTAATTAGATATTTTCTTCTTGGAAGATGACATGTTAACGGATGAGAACATTGTGATGGGCTTGATAGTTGTATTTCTTCTTGCAAATTAACAGGTGGCTCTGGTTTATCTGATCAGAAAGCAAAACTGTGGCTCATATTTCATGGAGTCTGCTTGAAGGTCAAATATATTTCCTCCAGTGCTGTGTCTTTCTCTCCATAAAGCTTATTAAGTGTAAGACTTTCTTCCAATGCCAGCATTATAAATAGGCTCTATCATGTATTTTACAATTTCACCAGAATGGGAATGTTTCTACTTAAATTGAAAAGCTAAAAGCCAAAGGTATTCTTCTAGGAGTTATTTTAATTATTAACCACCTCTCAGTAGATATTTATGATTTTTGGACTGTGGAATCAAATTTTCACCTCTTGCTAAATAACTACTTGAGATTATGAAATCCAGTAGAAATAATTTATTATACTCATTAAGAGATATTGTAGTGTTTAATAGTAATAGGAATCAAACATTATTAAGGATGAGGTGAATATATAAAATAATGCTATTCATGACTAAAGTTTATCTTGATTCACTTTCTAAAAATAACACAATATATTTAATTTCTCTGATACTTTTATTACAATTCTCTATGAATATCATTTAGCCTAGATAGGATATTTCATTAATTAGGCATAAATTGTACTATGTCAAGGCAGGAAATAATAATGTAAGTGTTCACAGATCTGAGAGTAAATGATAAAAATTAATCTAACCATGTTGCCAATCATAAAAATAAATTACACGGGTTGAAGGAAAACGCAAATGTCAAATAAAAAAGAGGAATTGCATTCTAAATCTAAGGCAAGGTGAATGGGTGGAGTAGCGTTCCAGATAAAGAATGATTTCAGTTCATATCTATAATTAGATTTACCTTCAAACCAACAAATCTCAATTTAAATTCTTTCTTACCCAGAGCTGCAGCTAATATGTCTCCATTTCATACTGCCGAGAATCACAATGGAAGATGAGCTGAATCGTCATGAAGCTTCTCTTGGAAGGGAATGCCATCCTTGTGAAGAGCAAGAAGACAAATTAAGGTATTGTGAATCAGACCTTTTCTCCCTTGGTGTTTTTAAATGGTTAATGTTTGACTATGAAGTTGATCTGAGGTTGACTCTTCTCCCTGTGACTCTTGGCCACACATACTTGTTTGCAGGTTTCCTGCTTCCTGGGCTGCTGGGTCCCACTCATCTCTGTATTCCCAGCACCAGCCAAAGTGCCTCACACATTTCAGATGGACAACAAATATCTGTTGAATTAAACGCCAGTTAAATGATAGAGGCATTTCAGGGCAGGGCACCTGGGTTTAGTTCCTAGAATGTTCTTTACAGAGAGCTCTCTTTCACCCTCTTTTGTTAAAACAAATATTGAGATTATTTTATTATTACGGGGAATGGAGCAATTCCTGCCTTTATATATATTTTCTCCAACAAAACAACGATAAACATGGCTTAAGCAGTTATTCTATGCTTGGCATTGTGCTAAGAGCTATGCCTATATTGATATTCAATTCCTCCCAAAGATTATGATGAAATATTATTATTCACTTAAAAATATAGACTTTAGTTTTTTAAAACGTTTTTATTGATTTTTTTTTTTTTTAGAGCAAGAGGAAGGGAGAGAGAGATGGAACATCAATGTAAGAGAAATACATCGATTGACTGCCTTCTGCATGCCCCCTACTGGGGCTGGAGCCCATAACCCAGGCATGTACCAAGTCTCTGGGACCTCTCAGTCCATGGGGTGACGCTCAATCCACTGAGCCACATTGGCTGGGCTAGACTTGAGGTTTTAGAGCAGTTTTATGTTCACAGAAAATCAAGCAGAAAGTACAGAGTTCCCATACACTCCCCACCCCACAAATGCACAGCCTCCCATTATCAATACCCTGAACTAGCATGGTACATTTGTTACAAGTGATGAACCTTCACTGACACATCATTTTATACACACACACACACACACACACACATAGATTAACATACTCATCACTACCTTTGTGGCTTTGAAAATTGTATAATAAGTCTTGTCTTTCCGGTTATAAAATGCAAATAATCTTTCTTTCTCGGGGCAACAGGATGTACATCCCTCAGTCTCAGGAACTCTAAACTCCCGCAGTGCGCAGGCTTGATGTGAGACTTTCTGAGAATGCTCCCAGGAGCCTGGTGGCAGGGCTCCAGGAGCGATTCTACTTGAATACTCCAGGGCTAGTGGAAAAGAACTGGGAATACAGGTTCCCAAGGCACATTCTTGAAACCAAATGGAAAAGCTGACTCCCACCAAGAGAGGATAACAAAAGGAAGACTAACCTTCTCTTCCTAAAGAAGAACAAAGTAGAAAAACAAAAAAGAAAAGCATTAAATCACTTAAGTAATTAGTGCTTTATTGAGAAAATACGGATGAATAGTCATGTGATACTCCAAGGTGGTATCTTGACCAGAAATTGCATTTCTAGAAATTTATCCTAAGGAACAAAGTGGAGGTGCATAGAAGACGTGAAAATAATGGCAACTTGCTCACGATGTGCCAAGTGTTCTGCTACATGAGTCATGTCTCAATGAATCATCACAACCATGTGCAGCCATTGACTATAATCCTCATTTCATGAGGAAAACTAAGGCTCAGAGCAAGTCATAAATTTATGAAATGTTTAGATTGACTCCAAATCTCATGATCTGTTAATGAGTTCCCCTCCTAAATATCTTTTGGGTTCCACTTTCAAGGGTGTGTCCGTGTGTCTTTCAAAGTAGTTTTACGGAATCATGGTTTCGATGTTATATTCCCCCCTAAACCAGTTTGAACACATTCCACCTATAGTTCTCTGAGAGGCTGGCTCTCTGTTTTATGTACAGTCACCAACACTGAGTCTAACAGGCGGAGGGAGAGATTAGTGACAAAGGGACTCTAGACCTCAAATACTTGACCGCTGGCACTGGATTCCTGGGCTATTTGTACACCTCTGGCATCCAAGAGAAGAGAGTCTTATAACTTACTCCTTATCAATCACGTATAGGATATATCACTCATTATACGGAAATTATTATCGTATCAATGAAAATTATTCTTGTTGTTGTTTGTTAGGTATCCCAAGACTTTTTATTTTTTTATTTTTATATTAAATTAAATTATTTTGATTTTAATTTAAATTTATTGGGGTAACATTGGTTAATAAAATTATATAGGTTTCAGGTGTACAATTCTATAGTACATCATCTGTCTGTTGTAATGTGTGTTCACCACCCCAAGTCAAGTCTCCTTCCATCACCATTTATCCCTCTTTACCATCCTCTATTCCTGCCTTTCCCTATGATTATCACTATACTGTGTCTGTGTCTATAAATTTTTGTTTGTTGATTTTTGCTTAATCCCTTCACCTTTTTCACCCAGACCCCCACCCCTGCCCTATGACAATTGTCAGTCTGTTCTCTGAATCTATGAGTCTGTTTCTATTTTGTTTGCTAGTTTATTTTGTTCATTAGATTCCACATATAAGTAAAATCATATGGTACTTGTTTTTCTATGATTGGCTTATTTTGCTTATTTTTAATACCACTTATGCTAATTAACACACCCTGTGGTATAGATATCAGTAAGCATATTTCAAGGACACATTAATCAACTCTTAATCACCTGTTGCAAACATCACTTATTATACTAATGAAAAAGTATTTTTAATACTGCTTATGTTAATTAACACACCCTCTGGTGTAGCTATCAATGAGAATACTTTAGTATCAAATAATCTACTCTTACAATGTTGATTCCTTTTAGAACATTTCAAGTGATAATTAATTGCCCCTAGGATGTGAATGTGAATTAAAGATGAGTTGCATAATGCTCCCAAGTGCAAGCCTACATACACACACACACACACACACACACACGCACACACTCCCTCCCTCAACTGCTTATATTGATGCAATTTAAATTATCATATGGTCTCGATTTCTCAATTGTGGCACTTTAACATTTCTTTGTTGTGGGAGATTGTCTTGGGCCTTACAGGATGTTAGCAGCACCCTTGGCTTCTCTTCATTAGACATCAGTAGACTTCATCTCCCCTAGCTGTGCCAATCACAAATGTCACTAGACATTACAAAATGTCTGGGGGTGGGGGGGCAAAATCACACTTGGTTGAGAACCATGGGTCTGCAGGATGAAATACTATACTATAAAGCTAGAAAATTATGTCATAAAGAGTTTTAATGACCTAGAAAAATCCTAATATTTTTAATAAAAAATCAGGATATAAAATAAAAGGTAAGTATGACCCTGATTTATGAAATGTAAAAATGGCTATGTGCATTAAAGTATAATAACAGCTACCCTGTTAGGTGTTTACTCTGTACCAAACATTAAGCTTTCCCATGGTTTTATCAAATTCATTCTTGACTAAACTTTGGAGGTTGGTACTACTGTTAACCTCATCTGACAAATAATGAAACTAAAGCTCAGAGAAAAAATTTGAAAGATAACACCATAACGTTAACAGTAGTCATGTCTGAGGAGTGAAATGTGGCTGGTATTTATTTATCTCTATATTTCCCAAACTTTTATCACTAAGCATTTACTTCCTTTAATGAGAAAACTTAAAAAAATAAAAAGACATTATGAAATTATAAACCTTCCTTTTAGAGAACAAAATGTATTTTTTGAGGGCCTTCCGATTGTTTCATCCAATGCCTATATTCTTAGCTTGTTCCTATGACTTTTTTGGTAACATTTTCTTAATTATTTGAAATTTGTAAGGAAGAATCTTCCCCATTATTCAAGTTCAGATGTATATTTAACGCTTCCACTTAAAGCTTTGAATCATTGAAATAAAACTGTGAACTGTTTCTAGAGAGATAAAGTACTCAGTACCTTGAAACATTTTTGTTGTTGTTGCTGTTAACTTAGAATTGGCTACAAATCTCCAACATCCTGTTGAAGCACTTCTGAAAATATCTGAGCCAATTTCCCCTCCTTGGAGAAGCACGTCAACAACGGGCAGAACCAGTGAAAACAGGGTTACTGTTCGTGGGGGCTGGAGTTTCCTTGAGGCTGTGGAGGCGTAAGCTTCTGAATGCTCATGATCAGGACAATCCTGACGAGGGAAGTAAGACATGTCTGACCACTGGGTGCTATTATCATGTTGCTTCTTGCCTGTTGGAGGAATCTTCCAAGTGGCAAACATAGTTGTTTGCTAAGAGTGGGTGCAGGCATTCTCGGCACACTGCTTGTTTACGGTATCCTCCTGCATGGCCCAGGGAAAGCTTCATGGCCCGCCTCGCCTCCCTCTTCTGGCCCGAACCTCTCCTGGCAAGTTGCTCGCCCTCATTCGGTCGCACTAGTTGCCCTCGCTCCTCGTGTTTTCCACGAACCCGGCGAACTACCGTCAGGGATTTATCAGTGTCATCAGTGGGAACCCGCCAAACGTCCTAAGCTGCTTCTTTATGGAAGGAGGTTGGGTTTCAGTGATGAATAAGTATCACTGTTGGATCCCAAACACCACCAAAGCTCCAATTGCTTTTGTGTATTTTTTTTAAATAAAAATTACCCTATGATATTTGATTCTAACCTTCGAAGTCAAGTTCCAAATTATGAACATTCAGTTCTACTTTCCAGTCGCCACAACACCCTCATCAAGAAGATATGTCTCAAATATATATTAAACAAACACAGTTTTCACGTGTCTAGTACTCTCTTCACTCCTTTTCTTTGGAGTAAGTCTATAAGAAACACAAGTGAGGTGTATGACTTTAACCAAACGTACTTGAAAATAGACAATATGACAGCACATTTGAGCAATTTTAGAATCAGTGAAGTCTTTTTCAGTTGGTTTCTGCCCATAAAACAAACCTTTATCAGCTGCCAAAAAAGTTATGTGGAGTCTGCAACTGGCGGCTCAGACCATCTTTGCTCACCACCTGTTCTCTTCTCTCCTCCCCCGCACCCTTTTTTGGCTAGATGTGAGAAAGGTGGAGCCAGCTTGGTGTATGTGATGACAGTGGGAAGATAAGTTGGGGAGTGAGGAAGGAGAATTAGCTCAGAATACTCAAGTGTATTGAAATGTATCTTTTACAGAAACAAACAAACAAAAGATAAAACTAAAATGCTCAAGTGTGTGTGCTATTCATTTGTTTGAAGTTATGGCTAAAGGATGTTAAGTTAAAAATTAGTAAAGTGTGCCCAGCCTGTGTGGCTCAGTGGATTAAGCATCATCCAATGGGTTTGAGAGGTCCCGGTTCATTCCCCGTCAGGGCACATGCCTGGGTTGCAGGCTTGATCCCCAGGTGGGGGGTGGGGGAGGGAACGTGCAGGAGGCAGCCAATCAATGTTTCTATCTCTTTCCCTTCCTCTATAAAAAAAATCAAAAACATAAAAATTAGCAAAGTGAACAATTGTTCAATCTATATTTAACCACTATGCACTCATTAATTCATTTTGCCAGTAAAATTATTGAAAAACATAAATTAACATTCATGTCACTAGTATTAGCTCTTACAATGTCAGTTTATCTAATAAGTATTCTGTATACTCAGATTTTGCTCTTCACAAAATACTCAGTGAATGGTATTCCTGGTGATAGGTTGTCAATAAATTATAGATATTATTTCAAAGTTTTTTGGGAAGGGAGTATTAAGAGTATGGTAATATGGAATCACTAAAATTAATTGTTCACATCTGTATAATGCCCCAGGTTTTGGGGAAAATGAACATCCACATACTCAGTTCTATTATCAAACTGGGCTAGATGTTAAGTCTTGTTCATCACCGCACAACTAACAGGTGGCGAACTATCTCCAAAGTCGACTCTTTTCCCTCTCCTGCCAGCGCTGATGTAAGTTGGTGGAGGAACACGCGGGCTGGACCCGTGTGGCCGGTGCTAGAAGACAGCAGAGCAGACACTCCTGAAAAGGTAAAGAGAGATCAGGGAACTCGCTTGGATTTGAAACATGGCCATGGGGCTTTAAAGGTCAAAAGTCCAGGAAAAAAAATTACAGGAAACCATGTACATAAAATAACATGTTTAAAAATCCAGGAATCTAGAAAGAGTAGGTAGCTCCTTAACGTTAGCGAACCAGTTAACCAGATTAATAAAACATCAGGTAAAATATCTGGTGTCCATAGACTAAGCAGGCAGGAGGGCCCTGGCCAGTGTGGCCAGTTGGTTGAAACATTGTCTCACACACTGAAAGGCAATTCCTAGTGCAAACCCCAGCTTTGCCTCTGCCACATACATGACTTAAGGCAACTTCCTTAATCATCTGAAGCCTCAGTTTTTCTTTCACTAAAATGAACATAACAGCCTAGCTTACCGGATTACTGAGAGGTTAAATGGTATAAGATCTGTGTGAGAGCTCAGCACAGTGCCTGGCACATGCGAGAAGTTTAGAGCATGACTGCAACACTGCTGAAAAAGAGAGGAGCAGCCCGTATCCGTTCTCCTAAATCACACTTACAGTTTTTACCATGATACATTTTATAAGAAACCAACAAACCAACCAACCCCAAAGCAAACACGGCCAGTTCTGAGAAATAGCATGTGGCTCAGTTTACCCATTCCATGTAGATGAGAAGAAAACAGAAAACAGGTTTTTGAAAAGTGGGTATCTTTATAGTTTCACTGGACCCCAAAATAGTGAAAAAGTAGAATCCACTCCAGGCACTACTCACTTTGCATCATCTCGGTTCATGCTTAGCACCTACGTATCCTAAGCAATGGGAGTGTACCTATAAACACAACAGTTCGTAATTCTCTGGGTATCTTCCCGAAAAACTCAAAAACATTCATTTGCAAAGATATAAGCACCTCCTATCTTCACTGCAGTATTATTCGTGGTGGCCAAGACATTGGAGACAACCAAAGTGTCCTTTGATAGAGGATCAGATAAAAAAATGTGGTACATTTATACTATGGAATACTACACAGCCATAAGAAAAGATGAAATACTATCATTTGTGACAATGTGGATAGACCTTGAGAATATTATGCTATGTGAAATAAATCAGTTAGAAAAAGCTAGGAACCATGTGATTTCACTCATATGTGGGATATAAAACTGAAACTCATAGACACAGACAACAATATGGTGGTTCTCAGAGAGAAGGGGGGGGGTAGGGTAGTGAAGGATAAAGGGGGTCAAATCCATGGTGATGGAAGATGACTTGACTCTGGGTGGTGAGCACACGATGCAATATACAGATCATGTATCATAGTAATGTATACTTCAAAATTATATGATCCTATAGATCAGTCACCCCAATAAATTTAATAAAGAAACATATACATATATATGAAAGAAAATATATATGAAAGAAGCCAGATCTCTGTGAAAAACTTAGAGTCTAATCACTAGATTAATTTAAGGAAGACAGATGTTATTAATGAAGTAATTTCAGAAATACATACTGTTTTCTAGGATTAGTATTTTTTAGGACTGGGAAATTCTTTCGTTCTCACCAAGTGTAGATTTAAAAGAATGGAAGGAAGTAAACAGTAGGAACAATCAATGCAAAGAAGGCAAGAGTAACAAGAAAAAGTCTATACCAACATCTGGCATTGTGTCTGGAAGATATAATAAGTGCTCTAAAATACTTTTTGAATGAATGAATGAATGAATGAATGAATGAATGAATGAATCTTGGTGCTCTGCCCCTCACTTCCATGTACATTAAGATCGGGGTGAATTGGTGCACATGATCTTAGATGTCAGGCTGTTTCAATACTGTATAAAAATGAATTCTCTACTTGATAGTCCTAGTGTTATTTTTTATTTTATAACAATAAACTACGTTCAAACACCACTTGTTTCTTCTTATCTGCATGTCCATCTAAATGATCTGGCTCTTGGTTATATGCGTCATTTCTCAAGTTTTTTTCTATTCTGTGTCTGCCAGAGGCTGTCAGTGTCCTTATGACTTTGTTAACTCTTCCTTTATGGAGGGATCCCACATGTAGTATTGATGTGTAAATGAGGTGTAAGAGGCAATGCCCTTCATTTCTCCAGTCAATAGAAAGGAGGTAAAAGAATGAGCAATATAATTCTTTTAGAAAATTTTATTCTTTTTCTGATCAACTTGATGTAGGTCAGACAGAAGCAGCCTCCTGGTAGAAGAAATGGCCCTTTTCTGCCCAGTGGAGAAAGACCACATGTTCCCAATAAACTTTACTTGGTTCTATCATCTATGAATGCTGCTTTAAAATGCAGTTAAATAGCACCCTGTTTTTCCTTACTAGCAATTTAATGTTACATTTTTAACATTTACTGTTACTTTAATTTAACTTTTAATGTTATAGTGATGAGAAGAGACATGCATTTTTGGTTAAAATCTTATGTTTAAGATCTGTATAATTTGATTTTATTTCTCAATCACGATGGATTCTATAAAGGATACAATAAAAAGAAAGAAAGCATTTGTCTCTCTATTCAGAACTTTAAGAAGATAATCTCAGATCTCGGTGTGCCTCAACTCCTTTAATAAAGGGGCATTTTGTGTTCTTGTGTAGACAGACATAGAGAGTGTATTGGGTGTTCTCTTAAAAAATTCACTTATATAAATATTGTGGGTGTCTTGTTTGGATTAAACAATGGAACCATTGTATGCTTGGCATTAATGTAACTGGAGGTTTCTAATTGCTTCTTGTATTCACCAAAAATTCACAAGGGATGAATTTATGTATATTTCCTACCAAGCCCACAGCATTGGGGTTGAATTTTCCAAGTCACATAAATAATCTCTCCTGTTGTTTCCAGTGGTGTCCACGCAGAGGAGTGAGGCAATGGAAAGGCAGTTTGGAAGCATCCAGCTGCCAAGTTTCTGGATCCCACCTAATGAAAAGATGGAAATGTGGGACCCATTCCGATGATTACAGGTTAATGAATAGCCTAAATATTTATATTTTATGACTATATACAATAATTAAGTTCCAAAGGAAAATAAACATTGATGGAATGTCAAAACAAATGAATCTGAGCTGTCAGACTATTTTGATGCCGTGCACTGATGTGTGCAGACTACTGCACAAGCATTCGCTACAAGTTGTCTCCTGTATCACGGAGGCAGAACTCTGTCTAGAGAGTTAGGGTAGAATGGATTCTGCTTGACTTCTCTTTTATTTTTTCTTCATCCCTATTATTTTTATAACACAAGTAATGCAGCATATATTTGTTGTTAAAAATTGAAATAAAGAGATACAAATGAAAGAATGAAAAACTCTTGCCTTCATTACTCTGCTCCCTACCCCTCAAAAGTAATCACAGCTAATGATTTTGCATTTACTTACCTAACCTCCCTTTTAAATACATATGCAAACACATTTATCTATAATTTATGTGTGTGTGTGTGTGTGTGTGTGTGTGTGTGTGTATGACATAGCTAATTTTCCTCTTTTGATAATATCTTATGGATTTCTTCTTGATAGTACATAGATCTACTTTTTAAAAATTAGGTCTATGGAATTATAAATATACCATAATTTGCTAAATATGTCTACCCACTGTTTTAGTTAGGAATTACTTGTGGGTATAATTACCAAAGACTAAAAAAAAAAATATCATGGCACAAAAACAAAAGAGATTTTATCCTTTTCATAACAAGAGTTGGGCAGTCCTGGACAGGTGTGACAACTCCGTATCTCCAGGAATAGACTATTTTTAGTGTTCTGATACTGAGTATGCTTCCCACCCTCAAAGTAACACCATGGTCCCAAAATCGCAGTTGGAACTCCAGCAATCAAGTCTTCTTTTTAGGTAAGAAAAAGTAAAAGGCAAGGAATAAACGTTTTGTGTCAAACGCTTTTATACAAGTCTACCTAATGAGTTCTGATTATGTCTCATTGCTCAAATCTTAATACATAGCTATCCCTTTCTGAAAGGACCTAAGGTTCAGGTGAGTTCCTTATATACCTGGTTTGTTGAGAGCTTTTATCATGGAAATATTTTGGAACATGTCCGCAGGTCATACAGACACCTCCATCAGAAGGAAGAAGGGGAGATAGGAGCTTGTGTGGGTATCCAGCCATTGCCACCACATTTACTGATAGATATTTAGATTGATTACAATTTTCACTATAAAATATAGTGCTGCAAAGAATACCCATAAACATGTTTCTTCTCATGGTATTTGCTTCATTTTTTCCCCCTGCAACTCCTGTTTTTGACTCTGAGTCTATTAATTAGCATCCATTATGTTACATACTTTAATTATTTATAACTTTATCTTTGTTCTTGGTTCAAAGGAGGAAGTGTCCTATGTCTGATCTACCTTATCCCCCTCCTTTGAGCTTAGTGGTGAAGACAGAATATGTTAGGATATTGATGTTTGCACATGAAAGAAAGATAAAGTGAAGGAGTGCCCCCTGGTCATTTTTATTACTCATCTGGCTGAGAGCAGAGACTGGGTATAACTTCTTAATCTCTGACATCCATTGTGCCTCAGTCTTACATTTGTAAAATGTTGTTAATTTTGGTACTTAACTCATAGGGTTGGTGTAAGGATTGAATATAAAGCACTTGGAATGGTAGGGGGCATGAGTGCTATGTGTGTTAACAGGTGTTAAATATTGTCTCAGCTAAGTAAAAAAAAAAGTTTGTGTGTAGGATGATGACAATAGAGGCATAAAGAGAATGTGAGTGGTATGCAGCATCCAGAATAGTTTTTATGAGGGATTTGAGATGGCCAACATGGAATGAGTTAAAGAATTGTTGAAAAATTTTGAAAAACAAAGAAACCACAAGAAAAGAAAATTACAAGCTAATATCCCTGATGAATATGGATGTAAAAACCTGGAATAAAATATTAGTAAACTGAATACAACACATTAGAAGGGTCATATACCATGACCAGATAGATTTAGCCCTGGAATGCAAGGATGGTTCAACATAAACCAATAAACCAACACGATACA